AGGAAGGGAGAGGGAGAGAAACATTGATGTAGAATTTACCCCCGTACACCCCCCTACTGCGGATGGAACCCAAAACCCGGGTATGTGCCCTGACCAGGAATCTCACTGGTCACCTTTTGGTGCATGGGACAATGCTTAACCAACTGAGCCACACCAGCCAGGGCAAAAATACGTGTGTAACTTTAATTGGACCTCCAGACATGTAGAGTCCCAGCTGCAGATTGAAAATACGACTGACCCTTGAACCACTCAAGTTTGAATTGTGCAGGTCCACTTATATGGAGATTTTTATTTATTTATTTATTGTACAGTCCTCACCAGAGGATTTTTTTTCCATTGCTTTTCAGGGAGAATGGAAGGGAGAAAGAGAGAAACATCAATGTGAGGGAGACACATCGATTGGTTGACTCCTGCACGGGCACTGACCACCAGGGCCAGGAATTGAGCCTGCAACCTAGGTACATGCCCTTGGCCGGAATCAAACCCAGGACACTTCAGTCTGCAGGCCAACGCGCTAACCACTGAGCAAAACAGGCTAGGGCTATATGCAGATTTTTAAATTTAGTTTCTACTTATCTGTCTTTAAGTTCACTGACTTTATTTTTCTATCTCCAATCTGCTCTTAAGCCTATCCAGTGATTTTTCAATAATTTTATTTTTTAGTATGTTTCTAACTTATAATTTTCATTTCTCTGTAAGGATTCCTTATATATTCATTCATTAAAACCATGTTTTCCCGTAATTCTTTGGACATATCTACAATCTTGGTTGGCTACGTCTAACATGTGGATTTCTTTCTCTTTCTTTTCTTTGTCTCTTTTCTCTTTCTTTCTCTTTTTCTTTCTCTTTGTTTCTTTCTTTTTTTCTTTCTTTTCTTTCTCTCTCACTCTCTCTCTCTCTTTCAATGTTTTTATTGATTTCAGAGAGAGGAAGGGAGAGGGAGAGATAGGAACATCAATGATGAGAATGATGGGCTGCCTCCTGCACACCCCCTATTGAGGTTTGAGCCTACAACCTGGGCATGTGCCCAGACCAGGAATCGAACCATGATCTCCTGAGTCATGGTTCCATGCACAACCACTGAGCAATGCCAGCCAGGCAGATTCATTTCTATATATTGCTTTCTTCTAGACTATGGATTACATTTTCTTGTTTGTATCTTTGTATGTCTAAATGACTTTTTATTGAATATTGTGCACTGTGAACAATACCCTGGAGTCTGTTATCTCTCCATGAAGTATATGGATTCTTACTTTAGCAGGCAATATAATTACTGGCTAATGACCTTACACTTGTTTAGGCTTGGTTTTGTTTTTACAGATCATTGGAGAGCCTAAATGGTTTCCCAAGTCCCACTAACTTGGTAAGACCCAACATCCAAATTCTTTTCCTGTGGATCATGTCATGGTTTGATTTTAGGCTTTATTAGGACAGACCTAGAGTAGGCCTTACTTTGTACTGTGGTCCTTAACCCAAGATGTAACCTTCCTGCTGTTTCAGCTGGATGCCAAGGATGTTAAAGATGCATTCACAAGATCTCTCTGCTTTGGCAGGGCCAGAACTTCTCTGGCAGTGTTCTTATCCCAGGACTGCTCTAACTCTAGGATCTCTGTTCTAATCTCAACTCCATATAGTTCTTACTTTCTGGTAAGCCTCAGGTGATCTCACTCTGTGTATTTACAGCCTCACTGTATTCAGGATTCTCCAGAGAAACAGCCAATAGGATGGACATACACACACATATTTTTTATTATTAGGAATTGACTCATGCAACTACAGAGGCTGAGAAGTCCCAAGATCTGTAGTCGGCCAGTGGAAACCCAGGATAGCTGATAATGTAATTCCAGTCCAAGGCCAAAGACATAAAAAGCAGAAGAGCCAGTAGTGTAAGTTTCAGACCAAGTCCAAGTCTGAAAGTAGTAGACAACAGATGCCTCCAGCTCAAAGACAGTCAAGCACAAAGAATTCTGACTCAGCCTTTTCATTCTATCCAGGCTTTAACAGATTGGTTGAAGCCCACCCACTGTGGAAAGGGCCATCCTCTTTTCTGAGTCTACCAATTCCAGTGTTATTCTCATCCAGAAACTCTCTCATAGGCACACCCGCAAATAATGTTTCACTAAATATCTGGGCAACTCATGGCTCAGTCAAGTTGAGACATAAAATTAACCATCACACCAGCCTTCAGCCACAGAACTGAGGGGGACTCACACATAGACTTCTGGAACTTCCTCTCTGCATGGTGTCCTCCTTTCCCTTGTTCTGCCAATGGTTTCCAGACATTTCAGCTATCCCGAAGTCTGATCTATGCCTCCTCAGCCCAGTAGGATCACTCTGCTCAGACTCTAGCTCTCTGCACTATAGTTAGGGAACTGTCCCCAAGTAGAGGATTTAGGTGATACTGGGGCTCACCTTATGAGTTTCCTCTCAGGAATCAGTCTTGTGCTTCATGTTGTCCTCTGCCTGAAAGTAGTTGCCTTAAAAATGTTGGTCAGTTTTTATAGTTGTTTATGGTAGGAGGACTAGTCTGGTATTTCTTAATCATGGCTGGAAAGGTTGTTAGTTTTAATCTGCTTTAATAGTATTTTATTATATGAATTATAACACTATTCATCCTTATATTGGTAGACATTAGATATTGGTGTATTCAAACTCTCACTCATACAAAGGATGCTTTAATGAGTATCTTTGTACCCAGAAATGGAATTACAGGACTATAAGATATTTCTTCAACCTTATTAGATATTGCCAAATTGCTCTCCAAATTATACTGTTGTAAAAACCCACAAACAGCATGAGTTCCATTTGTTCCACATCCTTGCCAAAATTTAATCTGTTGAACTAATTTTCCTACTTGTGCAAGTGAATGCAAAATGGTATCTTGTTACATCAATAAACATTTCCTAGATTACTAATGAGGTTAAATGTATATGTACATATACATGTACACATACACATATACATGTATTTATTATTGGCTATTTGGACTTCCTAGTCAATAAACTGCATTTTTTTTTTCACAGCTGGGTCATCTTTTTGTGATTCTTAGAAATTCCTTATAAATTCTGGTTACTAATCCTTTTTGATTATGTGAATTAGATACTCCCTACCTCCTATCTTTTAGCTGCCTATTTTGTCTTCCCATACAGAAGTGTTAAATTTAATGTAGCCATATTTATCTATGTTTTCCTAAATGACTTATGCTTTTTTGGTGTCCATTTCTTTGACCTTTTCTAAACACAGGTGCCCCCAGAGTTCAGGCCTTGGAATTCTCTACATTAATTCCCAAGTAATCTTACTTCGTCTGTGACATCTGTATACTGATGGCTTTTACATCTAGTTCCTCTCAACTCCAGTAATATACAATAATTTAAAGGACCCTAGATGAGCTAGATATTATCTTTCTTCTTCCCTTATTATCCAAGTATCTTGAATGGGAGGTCTGCAGTCACTGCCTCTATTTCCTCATCTTCCATTCACTGTTTAATCTGCTGCAGCTTGGCTTTTGTCCCACTATTCCACTGACACTGATGTTTTTTTCTTAAGCAACACAGCCCATCCCCTTTTCTTTTCAAAGTAGAAGCAGAATTGCCCTGGCAGTGGATTGGGGAGAATTGCTTGTTTTTCTCATTTCTCCAAGTTGCTCCAGATGCATCGTTACTGAGCCCTGTCTATCTTTCCAACCTCCCTATTCCCCCAAACATCCTCATCTCCAGCCATACTGATCTGTTTGGGGACTCTTGTATCATAGTCCTTTCCATTTCTGTGCTTCTGTGCAATGCTCCTTCATGTCTCTTGAACTTACTTTAACCAGTTTTCTCAGCTGGAGTAGCACCTCCCAGTCAGTCTTACCCTTTATCATTCCTTCTTTTTGTGCCTCTATTATCACACCACACTGAATCTTAACTTTTTATTTACACATTTTCTTCCTTACTCAACTGAGGGCTTCTAGAGATCAGAGAACCTCTGTTTTCTCCATTAATGTCTTTAATGTATACCAATGAATAAGTCAATGAATTAATGGCTAAGGAAGCTGAGCTAGACCAGTCTGAATTGGCAGACCACCAAGTTTGTTTGTTTAACAGTTTTATTAAGAAACAATTCAGAGTTGTGAAGCAATCAGTATAATCTAATTCTAAAACACTTTGTTCCCCCCAAAAGAAAACTGTACCCTTTAGCAGTCACTCTCCATTCCCTCACCATAACACACTCCCCAGCCCTAGACAACCACTAATCTATTTTCTCAGACCACCAAATTTAGCATAGGTAAATTGAACACAGATCTTCAAAATCGATTTAGGACCATGACGTGAAATTTGGTAGATAATTGTCTTGCATTACCAATTTGTACTGCAGTAACTCATACTTATCTCACAACCCCAGGTTTGATCTGCAGTTTATTAGATTGTTTGAGAGGGACTTTATTAAAACTAGATCCACATTAACAATAGTGGTTGGTTTGGGTTGGTCTTGCTTTTCACTGTTTCTGTTGATGTAAACTCTCTTAAGCTGTTTATACTTCCGTAGAAAATAGGGTAACTGGAAAAACCTCACACTCTCTGGTAGTAATTGTGAAAAGTGCTTTATAATCTCTTCTGGAGAGTTCAGCCCCCAGGAAGATACCATGGATTAAGCATTAGGGGAATAGTAGCTTTCTGGAGTTTTGTTTTTAACCCGATTCTTCACAGGCTCACCTGGATGAGTGCTGTGCGGGTGAACTTGCAGAAGGCCTGGAGAATCCGAACTCAGTTTCCAGGAAAGCCGCATTTTTCGAATTGTGTCAGGTCTACCGCGTTGCCAAGCAGTACCGTTTCACCTCGGGGTCGCGCGTCGGAGTCGCGTACGCAGTGACGTAGCCGGCGCACAGTGACGCGGCGCCCGGCGCGGTGCACGCTGGGATATTTAAGTCTTCTCCGCGGCGCGGAGCCGCGATGTCTCCGGCGGCTGCGGCGCCTGGAGGAGGCGAGCGGCGGCGGCCCATAGCGAGTGTCAGGGACGGTCGGGCCCGGGGCTGGGGTTGCGGTGGGGCGGCGTTCCTTGGTCTGTCGCTGCTCGGCCTCGTGCTGTACCTGGTGCCGGCGGCGGCTGCGCTGGCCTGGCTGGCCGTGGGGGCTACCGCGGCCTGGTGGGGACTGAGCCGCGAGCCCCGAGGTTCGCGCGCCTTCTCCTCGCTCGTTCGGAACGCGCGGCGTCAGCGATTACTGCTCGCCTCGCCTCCGGCCAAGTCGGCAGTCAACGGAAATCTCTTAGAGCCGCGGACCCTGCTGGAAGGACCGGACCCCGCCGAACTGCTCCTTGTGGGTAGTTACCAGGGCAAGCCGGGCCCCCCGCAGACTGCCCGGGTCCCGGAGGCCAGGGACCTGCGGGAGAGGCAGATCCGTCGCCCGCCCACCCGCACCTCTCCGCTGGCTCACTCGAGTCATCGCGTTCACCACATTCAGTCGTCTCACCCCACTCCTCTTTTCCAACCCTCCAGGAGGCCTTCCCACAGGTAAGATCCGCTGATCTTTCCCAGACCCTCCTCTATCGACTGGCTTTGAATTGAGGACTTGATTTCTAAATCGATTTTCTTTAAGTCCGAAGTGGATTCTGTGTCGTTTGACCTCCTTAAACATCTTGGTGCATGTCAACCATCTCTTGCCCCCTCCCCCCCTTTAATCTTTGGAATGAGATGTGATGCCACAGCTGTTCCCTTCCTTCCAGTTCTTAAAACTGTCTGAATTTAATACAGTATAGATTTAGCAGAATACTTGTTAACATTGAAATATCCCTACTTTGGGGGAAAATATCTTTATCTTTCGAGTGCAGTCATATAGTATTATATATATGAGTGTGTGTATGTATATATATTTTCGTCCAATAACAAATTTTTTCAGTTTAGCTGAGTTCAAAGAGATGTCCAGGAAACACTTATTCCATTGATAAAATTTGATAGGGATGATCAAATTAAAGAGACATTTTCATTTAGTCTCAATAGCAGAGTGATACAAGAGAATACAAAAAATCTGGTAAAAATATTAGGTTCTTGAACATTTAAGTGTTGAAAACATTTTACTCTTGGGTTTATATTACTGATAATTTATTGAAAAGATTGAAGGATTCTTGAAACGTTTCTCCCTGTGTATCCTAATACACACTTTTCTTCAATTGTAGTTTTACTTGTGTGGGCAAAGTTTTCAATTTCTCAAATTTTTGAAGTCCATTGTGGGATGGCTGTTAAGCAGGTGCCACTTTCTGCCCTTAGGGAATGGTGTGGGAAGTTACCATAACAATTCTGTTCTGTGTTGCTTAGAGGTTTAAGCTCTCTGGAAAATATCTGAACCCACATAGTTCTCTAGTCAGTTAAATTTTCTGACACTCTTTTAAGCTTTTTTTGGTTCCATAACATGTCTCCTATTCTCCACAGGGATTGTGGGACTTTATCAAATCGGTTTTTAATAACACCTCGAAGACAATATCCAATTCAGCAGGCCCAATATTCCTTTCTGGGGGTACTTCCCACAGTGTCCTGGAATGGTTATCACAAGAAGACTGTGCTATCTCCTCATAATTCCAAAATGGTGTGCAGCCCAGTGACAGTGAGAATTGCTCCTCCTGATAGCAAATTGACTCGTTCTCCAATGTAAGTATTATTATTGGAAGAATAGACTCCTTTTTGTGTCCACTTCATTCTTCTATGGTTGTTTCTCTGATAAGACAACTATAAAGCAAAAAACAACGAAGTACCTCTTTATTTAAATGAGAAATCCCAAATTTGAGTCATTGTACTACCTCTTATTTTCTTGTTTTTTGCCTTAGATTGTAGCTTTAATTGCTTAGGGCATTTTCTCTGAAAGTATAAATTACACTTTTGCTTGTTGGTTAGCTTCTGATTTTCAGTGAAGTCTGTGCTGTAGGTCATGGTAATTAAAATATTTTAATGCTAGAATATTGTCTTTCATTGCAGACCAGAACAGTTAATTAGCTCAACACTGTCCTCACCATCAAGTAATGCTCCAGATCCATGTGCAAAGGAGACTGTACTGAGTGCCCTCAAAGAGAGGAAGAAAAGAACAGTGGAGGAGGAAGAACAAATACTCACTGATGGCCAGGAAAATAAAAGAAGGTAACAGGCCCAGCAGAGTACTAAAAAGGCCTCCCATCTAGACTCCTGTGATTTGTTGAAATGCAGGTTACTCCCCCAAAAGACACAGAGGCCAGTTTCAGTTTGTGAGCCTTAGTAGGTCCCCTTCTTTGGCTTTCATGGAAGAACTTAGTAACAAGGGCTTTAATGCTGTTCATTTCAGGTTTAGGCACAGGTTAGATGAATTTTATAATTTACCTTTTCCCTAAGTACTGGGATAAGCCAACAACTGTTAGTCATGTTAGCCTCATACTTTTTTTTAAGAAAGATATTTAAATACACACACACACACACACATTATTGATTTCAGAGGGAGGGAGAGAGAGATAGAAACATCCATAATGAGAGAGAGTCATTGATTGGCTGCCTCCTGCACACCCCGTACCAGGGATCAAGCCTGAAACCTGGGCATGTGCCCTGGCTGGGAATCAAACCCTGACATCCTGGTTCATAGGTTGATGCTCAACCACTGAGCCACACTGGCTGGGCTAGCCTCATACTTTTGATACAAATGTGTTAAATTCTGTTTTTGAGAGGGAATCTTCAAAGGCTTCCCCTCCTTGTGTTGTTCAGTTATTTGGGTAACCACCAGTTTAAGTGTCATAATTGTGCTGAAGGGAATGCTTGGGAAATAAAACTAGTAGACTAGTATGGTAGATTTATCAGTAACGAGTAAAACCAACTTCATTAATTGGTTTTCAATAACTTAATGAAAATGAAGTAAGGAGTCTTATTTCCCGAGTATGGAAAGAAAGGAGGTTGAAGTTACTAATTAGAATGCAGAATTGCTTGTGGCTTTCTAAGGAACTAGTTAAGGATTCCATTCATTTTTTAATACAACAGATTGAGCAGCCACAATGTGCCAGAGCCTATTCCAGTTACTGTGGATAGAGCAGTGAACAAGACAAGTCCTCATGGGACCGGTTGGAGCAGGGAAAAAAACAAAAAGGGGAAGGATATTAAAACAAGGTCTAGATTTTAAGCATATAGAAGTTAAAAAAACACACATGGTGATAGAAATAAAAAAAGACAGGGTGATATAACAGGGTAATGAGAAGGGGGGGCTTTTTTATATCAAGTGGTCAAGGAAGTGCTCTCTTACAGGGAACCCTACACTTGAAAAATGCAATCATTGTCCCTATTACCTGGACCAAATTATTCATATGCTGCAGTTGCAGGGTTGGCCATCTTTGATACTTTTGATAACAAGTAGAGAAGTATTAATCAATGCAAGTGTATTTATTTAACATAGGAAGATCAGGTTATGACTAGAGACATGATTTACAAGTGAGCAATTTTAGCTAATGCCAGCCAGCTTAGCAGGAGTGGCAGGAGGCAGGGAGTGTGGAGGTGGGAGATGAAATAACTGTTCTTATAGTCCCAGTAGGTTTTTCATGTTCTTAGGGATGGTAGTTTTACTTGACCCTAGTGACTCTATAACTGAGAATTCTGTATTATCTTTCCCATAATTGGAATAAGCAGTGATTATGTGCACCACACATAGGTCCTTATATGTGAGATATATAGTTTTTCCCTAATAGACTTGCCATATTAACCTCTAGATCACTATGGGATGTGCGGATTGGTCCCTAAGATTTTTTTTGTTTTAAATTTGTGGATAGTGAGGTGTTAAATTTGTGATTATAATAATTGATACACTGAATAGTTAAAAAGGTCTTGTTGTGTAGAATAAGTCTTCACTTAACATTGTCAGTAGGCTCTTGTAAACTATGACAACATATAACGAAATTAATTTGCCCATAGGCTAATTGATATAAACAGCAGTTGAGTTCCTATGGCATCTCATCAATGTTATAATGAAATGACATTGAATGAAATGTTATTCAAAGATCTGCTGTATTTTTATACTTTCTTTATTGCCAGGACAAACTTAGAATAAATTTATCTTTTGGAATCTTTGGGATTTGAAGCAAACTTTTTCTTTTCTAGCAAGGAACCTGTGCTCCATAGAAATAGTATAAGGTCCCAGGAATGAGAGAATATGTTCTAAGGGGGAAAAAGTCATTTCATTTAATTAAGAGTTTTTGATTTTTCATAGGCGCCATGATAGCAGTGGGAGTGGACATTCAGCATTTGAGCCTCTGGTGGCCAATGGAGTCCCTGCTTCTTTTGTGCCTAAGTAAGTGAAAATCCATCTGGTTGAAGTGTACACTTAAGAAAAAGGGCATTGTCACAGCTATTGTTCTATAGATTTTCCTCTTTGCTTTTTACATTGCTTTATTTGTTTGGGTTTCAAATCTTTGAAATCAGAGAGGAACATTTCAGTAACTTGCCACAATAACTCTCTCATAATTTCTTTCAATATTTTTTTTATTAATTTGCATGAAATGTGTTAAGACTAAGAGGGTTTGTAAATATATTTAATAATCAAGTATGTAAATAGAAAGATCACAAGGTTTGCATGATGGATAAAATACAAAATTGAAATTTAAGATAAGTGATAACTTTCTACATTTGAGTTCAAATACATTTGAGGAAGAAATGGATTAGAGGGAAAGTGGCTCAGAAATTTGTGTGAAAAGACTTGGGGTATCATATGCTTAATTTGAGCCAGCAGTATAATATGGCTGCCAAAAAAGCTAACGTGCTCCTATTCTGTGCTGATAGAACAGAGACTAGGATGAGGCAGGTAAGTAGTAGTCCTGTTTTTCTTAATTCTATTCAGATTGTCCATTGAGTATTATGTTTGGTTCTGTGTACTACATTATAAAAGAGATTATACACAAACTGAAATTCATTTCCAGTGAAGCAACTAATATTTAAAGGGTGGTGGTGGTGGTGGTGGGTTGAGGGGGTTTTGAAGGTACATAAGTAATAGCCCAGAGGAGAAAAATCTCAACAGGAATAAGGAAATGAGGGAAGGAAGGATAACGGCTTCCAAAAAACTGAAGGACTATCAAATGAAAGAAGGAAAACAGCTTGCTCAGTACGGCACCAAATAGGATCGATGGGTGAAAGTTAGAGGAAATATTTTTTTCATCCAATGTAAGAATAAACTGGCCCACCACGTTTGACATTCATCACTCTAGGAAATAGTGAGTTATCTACACTGTAACAGAGGTTGGATGGCTATTCTACAGGATTTAGAGGGAATTTCTGTTTCAGTTAGAAACTTAGAAAAAATGGTTGGTTCTTCTTAACTGATTTTTTTAACAGCTTTATTGAGGGATAATTGACATGTAATAAACTGGGTCTGAAGTGTACAGTTTGGTAAGTTTTGACATTTATACACCTGTGAAACCATCACCACAATCAAGATAATGAACATAACCATCACCTCCAAAAGTTTTCCGGTGTCCCTTAGTAATACCTCCCTCCAATCCTGCCTCCATTCCCAGGCATTCAGTAATAATGCTTTCTGTCACTGGAGATTAGTGTTTATTTTTTAGGGTATCATTTAAGTGGAATAATACATTTAATTTTCAAAATATTTGGCTTTTCCTTCTTGACTTTGTCAGGTATATTTAAGAAAGATTTTGTGCCCATGGATGAAGCATTAAAAGAACATTGCCTTCAGTAGCACATCTAACTATCTTTTTCCCTTTTATTAGGCCTGGGTCTCTGAAAAGAGGTCTCAATTCCCAGAGCTCAGATGACCACTTGAATAAGAGATCCCGTACCTCCTCTATGAGCTCCATGACGAGCACATACACAGGTGGCATTCCTAGCTCCAGCCGCAATGCAATTACCAGTTCTTACAGTTCTACTCGAGGTTTCTCTCAGGTACATTATTCCTGTGGGTGGCATGGGCAAAATGGGTTCCCAGCATTAATTAATTGCTTAGTCACTGTTTACTGACCACCATCTCTCTATCAATTATTGGGATCACCTCTAAATTAACAGAAGATACAAATCCCTGAAAAAAAACAATAGGTCAGTGGAAGAGAATGGAAAGCTGAGAAAGTAAACCAGTGTATATGTGGAAACGTGATACAGGACAGAGCCATTATTGCACATAAATAAATAGACCAAGGATGAATAATTCAATAAATGGTGTTAATTGGATTGGAGAGGTAGACTTGAGTTCAAATTGCATTGGGTTATAAAAGAAATTTATCGTAGGTTGCGAATTTAGTGAAATTTAGTAACATAAATGCAAGATGAATGCCTAAGCCAGAGCAGTTGTGGGAGTGCAAAGAAGAGGGTAATTATAATAACCTTTACCTTGAGCACTTCCTCTAGGCTAGGTCCTATCCTAAGCACTTTATGTACATTTCCTCATTTAATTATCACAACAGGACTATTAAGTACATAGCCATTATCCCTATTTAAAAATGTTTTTATTATGTTAAATTTCAAATGTGCACACAAGGAAAGAAACTATGCTGAACTTCCATGTAGCTTCAGTAGTTAACAGCATTTTGTCAGTCCTCTTCCATCAATACCACCCCCCACCACCTTTTGGTTTTGCTCTTTTGTTTTAAAGTAAATTGTAAACATGTCATTTCACCTGTAGAAGTACTTCAGGATGTTTTTAAACTTTTTTAACATTAATGACCACAACACCATTATTCCTCTCAACCAATAATAATTCTTTAATATTAATTAATATCACTCCATGTTCAAATTGCCTTTATTACCCCAAACCATCTTGATTACTTTGTATCAGGGACCAAAAATCAACTCATTACATTTGGTTCATATTTATAATGCTACTACTTTTTTTTATGCTTTTGAAAAAACTGGCTCATTTTGTCCTATAGAATTTCCCACATTCTGGATTTAGTTTGCATTGTCCCTGTGTCATTTTAACGTGTGCTCTATCCCCTATTTTCCTTGTAAACAACTAGTTGGATCCTGAGGCTTGATTAGATTCAATTTCAGTTATTTTGCAGAATATTGCATAGGTGATGCTCAGACTTCCTATTGCATCATGTCAGGAGCACTTGAAGTCTGGTTGCCTCCCTTTTGTGACGTTAATGTTGATCATTGGGTTAAGGTGTTGTTAGTCTGATACTTGCATTTTAATTTTTGTATGAGCTTTTCATTTGAAAATTTTAGCAGCCATTCATTTTCTTTGCCTAGGTCCATTGTTTTATTAGGTTTCAAAATGGTGATATTCTAACTCTTTCCCTCTACATTTAACTGAAATTCTATGTAGAACATGGCCTAACTATAGGAATGACAGGATAATAAGACGACATTGATACCATAGCTAACTCTAAAGGTGACTAATGATGTTTTTGCTGCTGTTGATTATCTTTATGAACTTCTGAATTTTTATAAGCATCTTATGATCCTCAATATATTGTAGTTATTCCTTTTGGTGCATAAAATTTTTCAACTTTGACCAGTGGGAGCCTTTCACATTGGCTCTTGTATCCTTTGTTGTTTTTTGTTGTTGTTTTAATCGCTACCAGAGGATATTTTTCCTATTGCTTTTCGGCGGGGGGGGACGACGACACATCGATGTGAGAAAGACACATCGATTGGTTGCCTCCTGCAAACTCCACAACCAGGACCAGGAATTGAGCCTGCAACTGAGGTATGTGCCCTTGGGCAGAATCGAACCTGGGACCCTTTAGTCCATGGACTAATGCTCTAACCACTGAGCCAAACTAGCTAGGGCTCTAGGTATATATTCTTGATGCTATTATAAAGAGTATATTAAAAATTTAATTGTTGCTGGTGTATAGAAATACAACTGGTTTTGGGGGTTTTTTTAATCCTCATCCAAGGATATGTTTTATTGATTTTTAAATATATTGATTTCAGAGAGAGAGAGAGAAACATCAATGATGAGAGAGTCATTGATCAGCTGCCTCTTGCATGCCCCCCACTGGGGAAGGAGCCTTAAACCCAGACATGTGCCCTGACCAGGAATTGAGCCCGCAACCTTTTAGTGTATAGGACGATGCACCAACCAACTGAGGCATCCAGCTAGGACACAACTGGTTTTTAGTTCAGAAAACTTGCTTAATTCTCAATATTCATTTGTAGCCTTCAGGATTTTTGTATGTAAATCATGTTATCTACAATAATGACAGTTCTTCCCGTTTTCCCCCCAGTCCTTAACATTGTTTGTTTATGCCTTACTGCATTTGGCTAAGACTTCCAGTATAATATTGAACAGAAGTGAGAGCAAACATCCTGGTCTTGGTTTTCCTAATTTCAGAGGGTGCACTTTCTATGTTTCATGTTAGGTATAACGTTTGATACAGATTTTCTATAAATACTTTACTGGATTAAGGAAGTTTCTTTTCCAAGGTTATATAGTCAAAGAACTAATTTTAGGAGACACTTATCTGTTTTTGTTTCTTTCATTTGTTCTCTTATAGGTATTATTTCCTTCTTCATGTTTGATTTTCTAGGGTTTCTTTTTAATACAGATTCGTAGATCACTGAGTAATTTTTTTCAGCCTTTTCTCTTTTCTAACATAAGCTTTAAAGTTATATATTTCCTGTACATTCAACTTTAGCTGCATTTCACAGGTTCTGAAATTGAAGTGGTTTTTGTTTGGTTTATAATATCTTCTAATTTCCATTATGACTTTGAATCATAGGTTATTTAGAAATACATTGCTTAATTTCTAAACAGTTGGTTATTCTCTAATTATCTTTTTGTTGCTGGTTTTTAGTTTAATTACACTAGGTCACAGGATGATATACTCATATCAATCCTTGAAAAGTTTTGAAATTTGGTTTATGGCCCAACACATGTTTAGCTTTTTGTTGTTGTTTTAAATTATGTTTTTTATTGATTTCATTGAGTGGAAGGGAGAGGGAGAAACATCAATGATGAGAGAGTCATTGATTGGCTGCTTGCTGGGGATAAAGCCTGAAACTTGGGCATGTGCCCCAACCCAGAATCAAACTGCAGTCTCCTGGATCATAGGTCGATGCTCAACCGCTGAGCCACGCTGGCCACCCTTTTTTAACGTGTGTAGTTTTGATAAGTGTTTTCACTTCACTTGAAAAGAAATTTTATTATGAAGTGCTCAGTTGTAGTTTATCTTCCTTGGAGTTTGTTGTGTGGCTTGGTGTCTTTTGATGGTTTTGAAAAACGGTCAGCCATTATCAGTCTAGATACTGTTCTCCCCTATTTTCTCACCTCTCTAGTATTCCTGGACATGTTGAACCTTTTCATTGTGTTCCATGTGTATCTCTTTTTGTGTTTGTATCATTTTGTCTTCCCAAACTTCAGTTTTTCTGTTTTCTCGTTTACTAATTTTCTTCAGCTTTGTGGAATCTGCTATTTCACCTCAGCCGTTGCATTCTTTTTTAAATTAAATTAATTGGGGTAACGTTGGTTAGTAGCATTCTATAAGTTTCAGGCTTTCAACTTTATAATACATGTGTGTATTCCATTGAGTGCTCAACATCCAAAATCTAGTTTCCTTTCATCACTATATATTTGACCCCCTTTACCCTCTTCATCTTGCCCCCTTCCACTCAGGTAACTACTATACTCTTGTCTGTGACTGAGTTAGTTTTTTTTCTTTTGTTGGTTTTTGTTTTATATCCCACCTGTGAGTGGAATCTTGTGGTTCTTGTCCTTTTTCATCTGATTTATTTCACTTAGTTTGATACTCAAGATCTGTCTACATTGTCACAAATGGCAATATTTCATCTTTTTTGTGGCTGAGTAGTATTTCCTTGTATATATGTACCACATCTTCTTTATCTAATCATCAGTTGAGGGACATTAGGTTGCTTCCACAACTTTTGGCTATTGTGAATAATGCTGTAAGGAACATAGGAGTACATATATCATTACAAATAAGTGTTTTCAATTTTGGGGGGTAGATCCCCAGAAGAGGAATTGCTGGGTTATATGGTAGTTCTATTATTATTAATTTTTTAAGGAACCTCCGTACTGTTTTCCATAGAGGCTGGACCGATTTATATTCCTACCAGCAGTGTACAGGGTTCCCTTTTCTCCATATCTTCTCCAACACTTGTTATTTTTTGTCTTATTGATATTGCCATTCTAACAGGTGTGAGGTGGTATCTCATTGTGGTTTTGATTTCCATTTCCCTTATAGCTAGTGAAGTTGAACATCTTTTTATGTTATCTATATGTCATCTTGGAAAAAGTCTTCAAGTCCTCTGCCCATTTTTTAATTGGATTGTGTGTTTTGATGTTGAGTTGTATGAATTCTTTATATATTTTGGATATTATCCGCTAATCAAAGGTATTGTCTGCAAATTTTTCACTAGGTTGGTTGCCTTTTTGTTTTGTTGATTTTTTTTGCTGTGCAGAGCTTTTCAGTTTGATACAATTCCATTCATTTATTTTTTAAATATATCTTTATTGATTTGAGGGAGAGAGAGAGATAGAAACATCAGTGATGAGAGAGTCTTCATTGATTGGCTGCCTTCTGCACGCTCCTGACTGGGATCGAGCCCACAACCTGGGCATGTGCCCTGACCGGGAACCGAACCGTGATCTCCTGGATCCTAGGTCAATGCTCAACCACTGAGCCACGCCCAGCTGGGCCCATTCATTTATTTTTGCTTTTATTTACTTTGCCTTTGGGGTCAAGTTCACAGAAACCCCTTTGAGACCACGGTTCATAAGTGTAATACCTATGTTTTTTTCTGTGTATTTTGTTTCAGATCTTATATTCAAGTCTTCGATAGACTTTGAGTTAATTTTTGTGTGTGGTGTCATACTGCAGTCTAGTTTCATTCTTTTGCATGTGGCTTTCCAATTTTCCCAGCACCATTTATTGAGACTTTCCTTTCTTCATCATATATTTGTATGTCTTTGGCTCCTTTGT